AGAAGAGGACAATAGAAGAAGAAGAAGAAGAAGAAGAAGAAGAAGAAGAAGAAGAAGAAGAAGAAGAAGAAGAAGAAGAAGAAGAAGAAGAAGAAGAAGAAGAAGAACAACAACAACAACAACAACAACAACAACAACAACAACAACAACAACAACAACAACAAAAAGGAAGAGGAAGAGGAAGAGGAAGATTACGGCAAGAGGTTCCGCTTAGTGGGGAACACAGTTAAATTGTATTTTAGTTATTGTGTTATATGTTTTTTTGTATATGTTATGGTTATAGAATTTTTTAAAAAAAAATGTAAAAAAGAATCTCCGTAAGACAATGTGACAGCATATAACAATAGCATATTCATAAAGCAAACTTTTTCTCAATTTTATAACTAAGGAAAATATTTTACCTCATGAAAGTGTTCTGATAAAAGAATTAGGAGCACCACCATTTCCCGTACCTGTGGCCAATGTAAATATCCAATATAAATGGGAAGGGGAATGGAAGGTAGCTGTGTATGATGATACCCCAGCGCCATGCCTAATTGGAAATGATTTGGCTAGGCATGTGAAGAATGTGTGTGTCGCTACCCAATCTTAGAGGCAAATCCAACCCTTGGTGAAGTCTATAGGAATTGAGGGCAAACTGTATAATAAAAATGCTCCTCTTCTGAATAATTATCAGGAACCTGCTGGGACAACAAAGACAGAGAGAAAAGGTCATCTGTGCTCTAAGAATGAGCAAACTTCCTCAGAAGTGGCCACAGAACAAAAGTTGGATGCAAGTTTACACCTTTATTCAACTTGGTAAAATACAAGCCCCTTGAACTGCAACTAGAAAATCTGGGGAAAATTATAATGGTGCAGGATAAATTATATAAACACTAAAGCAGCCTCATAATAGACAAGGAAGAAGATATCAACAGTTAATTGTCCCTACAAAATACAGAGGGAGAATATTGGAAATGGCTCATAACAGAACATTTGGGGGACACTTGGAAACATCCAGAACTACCCATAGAGTGAGCCAAAATTTCTTCTGGTGGGTCAGCAAATTAAAGAACATTTTAAGAACTCTGATACCTACCAAAAATGGGCAATAAAAGGGACAAGAAAAAAAGCCAAATTATGTCTACGCCAGTCATTAATGAAGCTTTTAAGAGAATCAGCAAAGATATAATAGGTCCCCTTACTAAGATCTACATGGAGAAATAAAAACTTCCTTACTGTGGTAGATTATGCTATCAGATATCCAGAAGCCAACACAGACATCACTATTTCAGTAATGTATACATACTACAAATTCCAGCTGTTTGGAACTTTGCCCTGTCAGGTGATACTAAAAATGCATCAGAGACAACGCATAGGGAACGTGTTCACCTTCCTCTCCTGCTGTGCACAAAGGGTCCAGGACTCACTGCAGTACAGGAGCGTACTCAGGACTCAGACTCTATAGACCTGGATCTTGGTATATGCTGTCAGCTTCTTATTAAGCCATACTCTCTTTGTGAGTCTAGAGAACATAGCAGCTGTTTTGCCAGTGCGTTTATCCAGCTCAACATCTAGAGAATGTCAGAGATCATTGTGCCAAGGTACACAAAATCATGAACCCCCAATTCTCGTGTAGAGATGCTAATAGAGGGAGGTGAGTCCACACCCTGGCCCATGACTTGTTTTCTTCAGGCTGATTGTTAATTCAAAATCTTGGCAGGCCTTGCTAAAACAATTCATGAGTTGTTGGAAGTCTTCAGCAAGTGGGGCAACAACAGCTGTATCACTGGCAAAGAGGAAGTCCCACATGCATTTCAGCTGGACTTTGGTCTTCGCTCTCAATCTATAAAGAGCTTTCCATCTGATCTAGTCCAGAGATAGACGCCTTCTGTTGCAGTTCCAAAAGCGTGCTTCAGCATGACAGCAAAAAAGATTCCAAACAGCCCTGTTTCACTCTGCTTTGGATGTCAAAGGAATCTGATGTTGAGCCATCAAAAATGCGCCCTTCATTTGAGAAAAAATATATAATATGTGGTCTGGAATTTATTGCTCTTTATTGAGAACTGTTTGGAGGTTTTAAATGGAGCAATTATTTCTAAGGGGAGAAGTATGTGAAGGAAACCCTGGCCAATCCACTTGTTCACATGTGATAGTGTATGTAGTCAGCCTATCCAGGAGCCTGAAGGAGGAGGTGGCTAGAGGGCTGGAGTAGTGAAAGAAGCCCAGAGGTATTAAGGAAGAAAGGGAAAAAATAAAATAAGGGTTTTGATGAAAAAGGGAATACAGAATTGAGCAAATGTTAAAGCTAGGGAGAAAGATAAAGAATTTGTGGGTATGAATTATTTTAATTGGTTGTTGTAGATGAAGAAAAACTCAAGCTCAAATTTGTTCCCAGTCTAATGTCCCTATGCAATTAAAAGTTATTATTCTTACTCTTTAGCCACTGGGTCTGGTGTGGTAAATGGCTGGTGACAGACACACTACTGGAAATATGTTTTAAAAGGTGACAGGCCTGGGTTGGCTGGTCACACTCCCACAAAAATGAAATTTCCAAAGGACAGAAAAATCTGTGACTTAGGAAAAGGATTTGATCTACCCTTCTACATAAGAAGCTAATTCCATGCTTTTCACACATACTGGTATCCTGTCATTTCAAGCCATGCATTATGAAGCCACTGCAGTAACATGATCCTTTCTATAGTGTGTCCCATTCTGAACTACTTCTCTACTTCGCTTCTAGGTACTAATCACTGCTAAAACCTATACAAAATGAACAGTATATGGCTTGTTTCATGCCAAAGCAAGGCACACAGGAAAAACATGTCTTCTTTGGGCATGGAAAGAGGGGTGGGTTGGAAATCAGAAGTGGGAAGATCCACAGCTAGTTGCCTTTAAGCCAGTGAATTTTTGTAATGGGTGCTGGCCATGAGAGAATTGGTGAATTTTGAAAGCTCAGTCCCCCAAACCCTTCCCTCCTTTTGTAACATTTCAGTTGTACTTGTACAGAACAATGAAGACAAAATGCCCATTGCCATATTAAAGACATGTCTGAAATGTTGATTTCTGCATGTGCAATAGTCCACAGGAAAGGCTTACAAATTATTTATGCAGAATATTTATATCCAATACAGTCTATTTTTTCTATTTTCCCTAGTACTCTCTTCTGCTGTAAGACTGGTAATTGCATAATAGTATCCCATCAGCAAATAACAATTTCCCATATCATTTTGTTCTTGTCTTTTTGTAGACATAGTAAGAAGTCCTGTCAGATACATAGAATCTGCAAGCTGCATTCCGATTATGGGAGATCTTCAAAAAGTTCTTGAAAAAGGAGAGTATATATCCTTGAAATCTGCTCCTGTGTTTGAGAGCAAATTTGTTCAGGTAACTGGAACTTTTAAAGAGGACTGCTTGTTTAGCGCTGCCTGAACTGCTCTAAATAACTGGTTCTTAACCTTGGGTTACTCAGGAGTTTTGGACTGCAACTCCCAGAAGCCTTCACCACCAGCTGTCCTGACTGGGGTTTCTGGGAGTTGCAGTTCAAAAGCATCTGAGTAACAAAGGTTAAGAACCACTGCTCTAAATGAAAGTATAACTATTGAATCAAATTATCCATTCAGTTGTATTCAACCCCTGGTGATTCCATGATCCAGCTCACCCCATGATAACTATACTACAAACTAAATCTGCTGAAATTTAGATACCACATACACTACAGCATAATACATGTGTCCAGAAAACTATGAGATAATGATCAGTTATTGCAGCCAAAAGATGGACCAGATGTTTGGAAAGTTATTTCCTACCACTTGCTTAGTCAACTCCCATCTTTGTTACTATTAGGATACCAAATGTGTGGCTCTCCAGCTGTTTTTCTGCTACAGGTTCCATTACCCCTCACTATTTGTTATGCCAGCTAGGGTCTACAATAGCTGCACTTCAATCTCATTGGAAGGTCACATTCCTTTGCCCTCTTCCAGCACAGGAGGATTCACCAGCTGGGTTGAGAAGGTTGATTAATACCTTCCAGAGAGAGAGATCCTCCCAAACCTGGAAAGAGGTATTTACAAGACTTTTAACAAACCCTTCTTGGACCCTGAGAACTGTTATAACTACCAAACATCTCTATCTTAGGAAATGTACTTGAGTGGATGGTGACCATTCAACTTCAGGCATTTTTTGACAGGACCAAATATCTGGGCCCATATCAAACTGTTTCAGACCTGATCTTATATAGAAAATTTCCATAGTCATACTAATGGCTGAGCTGGACCAGAATAAGAGATCTTCTCTCCAGAATAATTTTAATACTCTTTCATTACAGTATTGTTTTGAGTGTGATCTCTGAGCTGGTAGCTAGAACATGGGGTTTCGGTAATTCTGTTCCTACCTAGAGGCCTAATTTAAGAAGAAGATATGAGGGGAGTACAGCATATCCTCAGGGTTCTATCCCACCCTCACATTTTTTCAAAATCAATGAAAAACTGCTACATAACTGCCCAGAGACCTTTGGGTAGTGTGGGCGGCACATAAGTTAAATAAATAAAATAAATAGCATTATCCAAGGATAGCAGATCTGTTATTGAAAGTATGATGAGAATACTCAGCTCTATTTTTTATCCAACCCAGTAAAAAAAATGTAAATATTTGATCATTATCTGTGACTTGCAGTGGACTACCAAGTCATCAAACAATTCATCTGCTTAGGAAAATAGTGTCCAACTTGTTCTAGGAGGTTGCACATTAAACTTAAAAGATCAGACAGACATACAAAGGCATTTTTGCAAGCCTCTAATTTACCTCTAAGCCCTGCTGGGCCAGCCAGTACAATTTTTTTAAAACAAAAAATAGCTGTTTACACTTTTGAATGCCTCCAGGAGCAGCAGCTCCAGCGATTAAGCTCCTACCACTACTATAAAATGTATTCTATCATCGATTTGATAAGATTTGTCATGTCCCGTCATTGTTATTCCAGCCATGTGTGACTGCGACACACTCCCCCCCCACAAGCGTAACATGCCCACCGTGTGTGTGCAGGGGCTGAGATCTGTCTCCATGGCCCAGTCCTGGGAAGCCCATGGACCAGCACCGGGCCGTGGACCGGGGATTGGGGATCCCTGCATTAGAGGAAAGTGGGCTGTAAATGTATTAAATAAGCAAATTTACATTCTTCTCATTTCTACTGAGTTGAGCTCAGTGGAGGAAAGGGAGATTCTAAATGTTATAAATAGCTCCTTCAGGTATATATCCTGGTTACAGTTTCTGTTCTATTTGTTAGGACTGAGAGACTGAAAACCTATTGGGTATTTCAAGGTGCATGCAACTTCATTGTTTGTATACAATTTACATGCACCATAAAATTGCCTTTAATCAGCAGCAATTTGCCACTACTGATGACATTATCACTGTTACACACATGGAACTGCACAATTTAATTTCAGTTCTGAATCCTAATAGTACACTGAGTATCCCCATTCATTTGAAATAATGTTATTTATTTTATTATTTGAAGTAATCTCTCTCTTTATAGGTCACTAGAAGAGGTGAATCAATTTACCTTCATAATCGTCCCAATTATGTAACCATGGGCATTTGTGCCTCCAGCCCAAACCTGTCGAAGCCAAATGTGATGCTGCTTGCACATTCAACTCCTTCATCCTCCCAGGAAGCTATTTCAACACGCCCAGCAAGTACAAAGCACTCGTCTTCTGAAGATGAATTAGTACTCACTAGGTAAATTGGTACTGAGGAATGTATGACTGAAAACCAGCAAGTATTAAAGTAGTTTGCTTTACTTCTGGATTAAGGCCTACATCTTTCCCAATTCACAGTGTCCCTTAAAAAATAAAATGCCTATACATAAATTGTCTTCACCAAAAATCGATGCCTCACATCAATTAATTTCTTAGTAGCAGCAGCACAGTATTTTCAGTCGGTGGCACTCTTTTTCCAAATTAGGTGAAAGTATAAGAGGTGCTTTTTATTCAGCCTCCCATGAGAAAGTCTTATTGACAATGAAATGCATAATTCTTTAGTCGTGCTCAAGGAGATCAAGACAAGGAAAAGTACAATAACCACCAACATTGCAAGGGAAGCACAATGAGTCTGCAGAGAGTAGGCACATGTGGGCAAGACCACCTGCCAAGGGCCTTGTCCACAGCCCTCGCCCATCTGAGTGGAGACAGAAATTAATGGCAGTGTCTGCTATTTTAGAAGTGGTGGTCTATACATATCTATTGTTCTCCACAGAGATGTTCACCTACTGCCAACATTATTATCTTTTAAGGTTACTGTTAGGTGCCATCAAGTCACATCCAACCTATGGCAGCCCTAACAGAGTATTCAAGGCATGTGAGACATTTACAGAGTGGTTTTACTAGTGCCGCCATCCACCAGTGAGTTTCTATGCCCAAGCAAGGATGTGATTACATATATTACTCTATCATTCCATCCAAAATACTAACACTGGATCTCTGTTCCTTAAGTTTCAGGAAAAAGGATTTACCCAGCCATTTTAATTGTTTCTATCTTTTGCTTTTTCCTTTGATCTGAGTTTTACTAAATGTTTTACTTTATGCTTTGTACGCACTCTATGATCAGAATCTAGTATGGTGAAAAGTAATATGAAAATACTTTAAATAAATAAATAAACTTCATATACATGCAATGGCTTGAATCCTGCTGCTTAGCATAGTAAGTCACACTAGAGTACACCCACTGAATCAGTGGAAATTTGGTGAGCCAACTCCTTCATAACTTCAGCTGATGCAAATGGACATATTCAGGGTGCAACTTGTAAATTGCAATTAGAGTAGGCATGTTTGAATCAATGGAACTTACACATGAATTGACTCACCAAGTTGTCACCAATTCCGTGGGCCTACTGTACTGTTACTTACTGCACTAAGCAACAGGATTTCACCCACTAAATATGACTCTATTAAGTCATATAGATGAGTATCCTGTTTCCAATGTCTTATTTAATGCATTTTACCACACTCTTCAGTTAAAAAAACAAAGCAGCCAGAACAGCTTGTTTAATAAGAACACTGAACACAATTGCACCTCATAGGTTTACAGTCTAAGTAAGGGGAAGGAAGGGACAGGGAAAGCATGCAAATTTAGGGACCAAATGTACAGTTGCTCATAAAAGCAATGTCTTCTGTCTAAAGGTTTATGCATGGAACTTCCTGTGTCTTTATTTATTACACAGTGCAAAACCAAAGGTTCAGCTTTAAAAAGAGAATATATTATCTAATAGCTTCTTTCATTGTGAGATTCCATGCACCTCCTGGCTAGGCTGCATAATAGTGCTGCAATTTTCTACACCTGCATTGCAGGCATGAGGGAAATCCAGTGTGGTTTGTCAGTTAGTATAATATGGCATGTTTCTGTTACATGCTTGGAATGTGTCCACAGTTTATGAAAACAAGCAAAGGACAGAGATATTTTGTACCTTTCCTTTCTACTGTCTACATGCAAAACAGACAGCACATTGTGATTTCTTGTAATAGGCATCTGTGCTCCTTGCTTGTTTGAATCTTATTTTCCCACCCTGTTTGTATGTCAATTAAATGAGGCATAAGTTTAGAACCTCATCTGAGAATTTTCTTGCAGGTTTCTGCCCTTGAAGCTTGTAGACATTTCTGTTCATTCAGTTAAAAAAAGACGTATCAAACTAAAGCTGGTGAGCGGCCGTGCCTACTACCTAGAACTCTGTGCCCAACCAGAGAAGCAGGCTCATCTCTTCCATCAGTGGATACAGCTCATAAATCGACTGAACTCTCGATCTAGAGGTTCTCCAGTCAATGCTCTGTATAAGGATTTTGAGACCCAGGAAGAAAATAGGGATGTCAGGAACAAAGCACTTAAAGTGAGTATTAACTGGATGGGTATGATAAATCTTCACAAAACAGGTTGGGAAAATATCAGATGATTTCATATAGCAAATGTATGGCAGAAACCATCAGTACAGTGGTGCTCCGCTTGACGATAAGCCTGCTTCACGACAAAATCACTTAACGATGATTCCTATGGGTTTTTTCGCTTAATGATGAATAGTTCCCTGCCTCGGGAACCGTTTTTTCACTGGATGACGATTAGAAACAGCTGATCGGCAGTTCTCAAAATGGCTCCCCGCTGTTTTCCAGACCTATTTCTGGAAGACAGTGATCGAAAATGGCTTCTCCTATGGAGGATCTTCGCAAAACGAGCAGGTATTTCCCCCATTGGAACGCATTAACCGGTGGTGTTCAATGCATTGCAATGGATTTTTTACTTTCGCATGACGACAATTTCGCTTTACAGCGATTTTAACGGAACGGATTATCATCGTCATGCGGGGCACCACTGTATATGCCAGAGAACTTTTCCTTAAAAAACAAAACACAAAGCCTATTTGCCTGTTGGTTGGCAAAATGTCAGGAAAAACATGTCATACTCTCTTGTCCTAGATATAATTTGTTAATATTTCTGAAAGAGGATGTGAAGATGAACTTGTGCTAGCACTTTCCTTTAAGTGTTTCCACTTACTTTAAGACAACAAAAAAGAGCAGCAGATATACTTTACTGTGATTTTTTAATCCGTGTGTTGGCATTGCCTATAAGTTCTATCTAAGCAGCATGGGATATTGTGGTCATTCTAGATAAATATCCGGTCCCACTAGAGTGCCTAGTAAAGAGCCATGAAAAAACAGACCCCAAAACATAGGCAATTCAATCAAATTAAATGAATTTAAAATGTTTCTAGGTTTATAGACATACAGTAAAGAATGGCAAAACAATATCTACAGATCAAAATAACAAATTTATAAATATAGGAAATTCACTATTCATTATATATTGCTATCAATTTGCTACACAAGTTCAATTCTTAATTTTCTTAGCTTGTCACTATAGAAAAACCTTCCCAACAATATAATGAGAATGATTGTTGTGGGTTTTTCGGGCTCTTTGGCCATGTTCTGAAGGTTGTTATATATAATAAGAACTTCTCTGATGCCAAGACTGTGTTGAAACTTCAAAATGTGCACATATTTACTACATTCACTACTAATTCCTCTCTGTCCTTTTTTCCCCCCCAAGGGATACAATGAAGTAGAATCTTTCCTATACCAACGATCTAGTGAAGAGCCAGTTAAAGCAGGAATCATGAAAAAAACATCTTCAAAACGTGTCACTATTTCTGATACAGTGGGGCCTATTGAAGAATTTAGAAAAAGCCAAAGTCAAGCAACAGTTTATTCCTACAGCTGCCTGAAAAAGTCAAGTACAGATGCAGAGAACCAAAATGAAAATAGTCAAGAATCAATCAAGAATACTCCTACAAAGAATAGATCAAGGTATGTGAACTATGAATGCATACTATAATTACAAATTTCTGTTTTCCAACTTCTATTTCAATATTCTCTGTTACATTAACATAACGCCCCGTTTAATGAAGAATCCACATTTTTGCGATCGCAAAAGCGATCACATTGCGATCTTTTTAATGGCAAAAATGGCTGTTTCACTTACCGATTTTCGCATACCGATGTTTTTTCTAACAGCTGATCAGCGGTTCCAAAATGGCTGCTGGAAAAAATGGCCACCTGCTGTGTTTTCACACCCTTTCCTTGCTTACTGGGCAGCGAAAATGGTGGCATATGGAGGATTTTCGCATAACGGTGATTTTTTTACCCATAGGAATGCATTAAACGTGTTTTAATGCGTTCCTATGGGATTTTTTGCCCCGCATAGCGACGAATCCACATTTTTAAAGAATGGATTATCGTTGCTATGCAGCGCACCACTGTATACTATTGATAGCATTATATGCCTGTATAGTGGATATATATGGGTGGAGTGATGGTGTGATTGGCAGGTGAATTATTGGTACCGTATTTTTCCGTTTTTAAGACAACAACTTTTTAACCCCAAATTAGAAAAATTGATCACTGCTTTTCCCCTCCACTTCCGAAGCCCTGCGGAAGAAAGATCAAAGGGCTGTGGAAGTGGAGGAGGAAAGCAGCGATTAAAGGGCTGCAGTGTTGCAGCCCTTTGATCCTGAAGCCCTTCCATGGCTGCTTTCCCCCTCCACTTCATATGCCCTGCGGGGCTTAGGAAGTGGCAGGGAAAGCTGCAATCAAAGGGCTGCAGGATCAAAGGACTGCAAACCTGCTGCACGTTGATCCCTTCCCCCCCTTACATCCGTGTATGACTCTCAATTTTTAGTCTAAAGATTTTAGATAAAAAATAGTTTTTCTGATTCATGGTCAACTGAGTTTAGTAATTCAAACTTCTTTTTTGTATCGATTTAATCTTATGAAAACTATTTAAATTATATTTAAATTATATTTTGGCATTATGATCCTCTTTTTCAGCTTTACTCTGATTTTTTTTCTATTAGCATTTCATGGTAAGTACCACAGTCTGTTCCTGATCTTATTTTGGCAGAAAGAATACAGCTTCTCCATCTACTACTTCTAATTATGTGGTCTATTCGATTTATATATTGTTAGTGGTAACCCAGTAACTTCATACAGTTATCTGGCTGGTTGCCTGAAACATGTATTTGCAATATACAGGTTGTCAGCTTCACAGAATTCTACAAACTCCTCTTGCTTCATTTTTCATTCCCAGCCCAGCCAGCCCTACACTCTAAATCTGGTACTGTTGAACACCAGGTCTGTATCCAATAAGCCCCGGGTGATTCACGATCTTATCCTGGAGGAGGATGCAGACCTGGCATGCATAACCGAGACGTGGATTAGTGGGGAGGGGGGTCCTCACTTGGCTCTCATCTGTCCACCCGGTTATGCCGTCCAGCACCAGGGTAGACTGGAGGGGCGGGGGGGTAGCCATTGTTTACAAATCCACCTTAGAGGTTACTAGGCATTAGTTGTTGTGGGTTTTTCAGGCTCTTTGGCCGTGTTCTGAAGGTTGTTCTTCCTAACGTTTCACCAGTCTCTGTGGCCGGCATCTTCAGAGGACAGCACTCTGTGCTCT